GCTGATCTGCAATGCTGAAAGGTTGATGAACATGCTGAGAAAAGAGTTTTACAGAAGATTTGGCCCAGGCTACAAGTAAAAAATGCCCAGAAATTTAAGTGAGAATGGAAACTCAGAACATTAGTCAGTACATCAAGTACCGTTTCTTAAATACTTGGTGTGCAGGGCATTCAATGGTTACAAATCACATGCAGCAATAAACAGCTTACCCCCTAGTGTTTGATGTTATCAATGGGTTTATTACATTATTGTATTATATTACTCTGTATTCCTTCATCTAATATTATAATCTGAAGTCTAAAGCACAGTAACAAAAGCAAAGTCTGTAATTGTTCAAAACAATATCTAACAATATATGGAACAGGGTAAAACTGATTTCACATCCTAAGTAATCCAGATTGTAAATGAAATACATTATCAAATAACCAATGAGATTAGTGGCATGATATCAGGCAGGAAGGTTCTGTCTCCTAGTGCTGGCAATCTAAAGTTGGCCATACTCACAGAGGACTCTGATTTTTTTTAATAAATTATAATCAACTCCTCAAAAGACTCTTTTTCTTTCAACATACTTGTCCTATACTTATTGTTTATTTGGCATGTGTTTATCTGTTTATCTAGACCAGTGGTCTCCAAACTTTGGCCCGCATGCCAGATTTGGCCCTTTGCTTACCTATCAGGAATGGACTCACCATTAGTGGTGGGACTCATCTGCTGTGTGGGCTGCAGTACCAGGGCTGGCCAGCGGGTGCTCTCAGCAACCAGAAGCTCACTCCTGCAATCAGCCATCACCTGAGGCTGATTGCAGGAGGTGTATTTAAGGAATTGCCAGACCTGCAGTCAGTGCCTTGGTGTATGTTTCCCATGAGCCCCTGTACCTGCATCCTGTCTGCTTTCTGCCTGATCCTGCTTTGATTCTGACTCTGAACCTGACTCTGAGCGAACTCCGCCTGTCCTGACCTCGGCTATTCCTGGCCACTCTTCCGCTCACTCCTGGTACCCTGTTTGCCCGTTAGCTACCGACCCGGCCCGCCTGACTATGTTGTGCTCCATATATATATATATATATATATATATATATATATATATATATATATATATATATACAGTGGGGATCGAAAGTTTGGGCACCCCAGCTAAAATTTTGTATTAATGTGCATAAAGAAACCAAGGAAAGATGGAAAAATCTTCAAAAGGCATCAAATTACAGATTAGACATTCTTATAATATGTCAACAAAAGTTAGATTTTATTTCCATCATTTACACTTTCAAAATAACAGAAAACAAAAAAAATGGCGTCTGCAAAAGTTTGGGCACCCTGCAGAATTTATAGCATGCACTGTCCCCTTTGCAAAGCTGAGACCTGCCAGTGTCATGATTGTTCTCAATCATCGTCTGGGAAGACCAGGTTATGTCAATCTCAAAGGTTTTAAATGCCCAGACTCATCTGACCTTGCCCCAACAATCAGCACCATGGGTTCTTCTAAGCAGTTGTCTAGAAAACTGAAACTGAAAATAGTTGACGCTCACAAAGCTGGAGAAGGCTATTAGAAGATAGCAAAGCGTTTTCAGATGTCAATATCCTCTGTTCGGAATGTAATTAAGAAATGGCAGTCATCAGGAACAGTGGAAGTTAAAGCAAGATCTGGAAGACCAAGAAAAATATCAGACAGAATAGCTCGCAGGATTGTGAGAAAAACAATTCAAAACCCACGTTTGACTGCACGATCCCACCAGGAAGATCTGGCAGACACTGGAGTTGTGGTACACTATTCCACTATAAAGAGATACTTGTACAAATATGGTCTTCATGGAAGAGTCATCAGAAGAAAACCTCTTCTACGTCCTCACCACAAAAATCATCGTTTGAACTTTGCAAATGAACATATAGACAAGCCTGATGCATTTTGGAAACAAGTTCTGTGGACCGATGAGGTTAAAATTGAACTTTTTGGCCGGAATGAGCAAAGGTACGTTTGGAGAAGAAGGGGCACAGAATTTAATGAAAAGAACCTCTGTCCAACTGTTAAGCATGGGTTGGATCAATCATGCTTTGGGATTGTGTTGCAGCCAGTGGCACAGGGAACATCTCACGAGTAGAAGGAAAAATGGATTCAATAAAATTTCAGCAAATTTTGGATGGTAACTTGATGCCATCTGTGAAAAAAGCGGAAGTTAAAGAGAGGATGGCTTCTACAAATGGATAATGATCCCAAACACACCTCGAAATCTACGGGGGATTACATCAAGAGGTGTAAACTGAAGGTTTTGCCATGGCCTTCACAATCTCCTGACCTCAACATAATTGAAAATCTATGGATAGACCTTAAAAGAGCAGTGCGTGACAGACAGCCCAGAAATCTCAAAGAACTGGAAGACTTTTGTAAGGAAGAATGGGCAAAGATACCTCAAACAAGAATTGAAAGACTCTTGGCTGGCTACAAAAAGCGTTTACAAGCTGTGATACTTGCAAAGGGGGCAGTACAAGATATTAACTCTGCAGAGTGCCCAAACTTTTGCAGACGCCATTTTTTTGTTTTCTGTTATTTTGAAAGTGTAAATGATGGAAATAAAATCTAACTTTTGTTGACATATTATAAGAATGTCTAATCTGTAATTTGATGCCTTTTGGAGATTTTTCCATCTTTCCTTGGCTTCTTTATGCACATTAATACAAATTTTTATCTGGGGTGCCCAAACTTTCGATCCCCACTGTATATATATATATCAGTTTAGGTTTGGGTTTGTTTCACCTTGTTGTATGTATTTGTGTTAGTTTTGGGTTTGGTTTGTTGCACTGCGTTTATGTTTGTGTTGTCCTTAATAAATTATCTTATTTACATGCTATACCTGAAGTCTGTGTTTCCCTGTGTCGGTCCACACACCTCTGGTCATTCCCGGAGCCCTGACATTACCTTTATCCAGCCCTCAGGGCACTGATCCTCACACTGATATGAGGCACTAAACCTTCCACTATCCCTAACAATGAAACACCATTCCTCCCACTGACACTAACATTGGGGCACTAAGTCTTCTACTGACACCAACATTGGGTCATTATTCCTTCCATGAAAACCAATGGTGGGGCATTAATACCTCCCACTGATACCAATGATGAGGCACCATTTCTCCTTTTTCTGACCACAGTGCTATGTATTTTTTACTCCCACTTACCACCAAACCTGAGACCTGGTCTACTCCCACTGATGCCAGGGCATTTTCTACTCTTACTGGCTATAGTTCGGCCCTCTTAAAGTCTGAAGGACAGTAAACTGGCCCTTTCTTTAGAAAGATTGGAGACCCTTGATCTAGGCAACAACTAATCTTTGAAGACACAAGAGAGAATCCACTGATTTATGCAACTCCCTTGATGTCAGAGTAACTTGTATGTTCATGTCCAATAGTCCTAGTAGTAAGCAGCAGGAAATAAGTAAAAAAGATACAGCTGATATGAAGAATTGCAAATACAGTACACTATCCATAAATGTGAGCAGATTACAAAGCTTACTGTACAGTTGTTAATTAGGTTTAATCAGGTGAAGGTCAAGAAGGTCACAAGTACACAATATGGAAATAAAATTTCACTACAGAGTTTATCTTTTTGCTGAGATCTGGTGACTCCCTGCTGAGTCTGGTTACATGGGAGCTCATTTGGGAAAAAAATACTTCTCTGTTTTGCAGCAATGAAAAGGCCCATGAAAAAAACCTAAACAACTCAGAACACTTTGAAATTCCCCCAAAAAAATCTTAGTTATGAAATTCATACCTGCGAAGACATTTTTCCACAACCTTATTAGGTAGCTTCACTTCACTTTTACAGACAAGGGTTATGCATATTATCACTTACAGCACTACAACTACTGTACCTAATCAGGCTAAAACCAAGTTCATTTCTGCAGAACTCATCTTGTAATCTGGTACAAATAACCCAGAGCATCTGTAATCCCTATTTTCATTTATGCATTTTTGGTCTGTTAAGCCCCAAGAAACTTGAGTTCACTTTTATACTCATCAAGTACCATTGCAGTGGTGGGGATAGAGAATGGAAATTTGGTGGCATGTAATGTAGCGTATATGTTAATACATATATATATATATATATATATATATATATATATATATATACTGTATATGTACATACATTGTAAAAAATAAATAGGGCAAACACAAACTTAAATATATATACCTATATATGCCTTTACACACACATGAACTTTAATGGCACCCCAGTCTTAGTCCGTAGGATTCAATATTGAGTTGGCCCACCCTTTGCAGCTATAACAGCTTCTACTCTTCTGGGAAGGCTGTCCACAAGGTTTTGGAGTGTGTCTATGGGAATGTTTGACTATTCTTCCAGAAACGCATTTGTGAGGTCAGGCACTGATGTTGGACGAGAAGGCCTGGCTCGAAGTCTCTGCTCTAATTCATCCCAAAGGTGTTCAGGAATCTGTGCAGACCAGTAAAGGTCTTCCACTCCAAAGTCACTCATCATCTGTTTATGGACCTTGCTTTGTACACTGGTACGTAGTCATATTGGAACAGGAAAGGGCCATCCCCAAACTGTTCCCACAAAGTTGGGAGCATGAAATTGTCCAAAATATCTTGGTATGCTGATGCCTTAAGAGCTCCCTTCATTGGAACTAAGGGGCCAAGCCCAACCCTTGCAAAATATCCCAACACCATAATCCCCCCTGCACCAAACTTTACACTTGGGACAATGCAGTCAAGCAAGTACCATTCTCCTGGCAACTGCCAAACCCAGACACGTCCATCGGATTGCCAGACAAGAAGCACGATTTGTCACTACAGAGAACATGTCTCTACTACTCTAGAGTCCAGTGGCGGCGTGCTTTACACCACTGCATCCTGCTCTTTGCATTGCACTTGGTGATGTAAGGCTTGGATGCAGCTGCTCAGCCATGGAAACCCATTCCATGAAACTCTCTACACACTGTTGTTGTGCTAATCTAAAGGCCACATGACGTTTGGAGGTCTTTAGCTATTGGCTCTGCAGACAGTTGATGACTTCTGCACACTGTGCGCTTCAGCATGCGCTGACCCCACTCTGTCATTTTACATTGCCTACCACTTTGTGGATGTATTGCTGTTGTTCCCAGCTGCTTCCACTTTGTTATAATACCACTAACAGTTGACCATGGTGTACTGTGTGTCAAATTTAAGCATTGATAGTGTGATCTCTGTAACTTACAGTTGTGATGAGATAGCGATAACTTCAACCTCAGTTGGGGTCCACAGTCAGTGACTCAATGAGAATGACATCTTTTAGATCTTGTGAAGTTTATTCCATAAACTGAGAGAATCTTACAACAATGAAATTCCATAAGTCAAAAGAACATTCTGTTTCCTGCTCCATGCCATGAGGCTAACTGCAATGCATCTCTGGGAAGGGGGGAGGGCTATCAATGCAACATTAGCTAACTAAAGGAAAGGGAGGAACAGAGACAAAACACTGAAAACATTTAAAGGCATATGACAGTCAATATGACAGTCATGTGAAACATGACACATGGAATATTTAGTAGCAAGGAAATTTCATGATTGGACTTGTACAGGTGGCAACCTATCATGGTACCACACTTGAATTCACTGAGCTCCAGTGAGCGACCCATACTTTCACAAATGTTTATAGAAGCAGTCTGCATGCCTAGGTGCTTGATTTTATACACTTGTGGCCACTGAGGTGATTTGGCAATTTAGTGTATATCACAAATGGTCTGCCCCTATAACTTTGCAGTAGAATGCATTTTATACAACTGGGTTTACTTTAATGATGAATATCTGTTCACTTTCCAGGGTAACTGTTGTGAACATAAACCATTGGCTGTTTTACATGGCTCTTACAGCACAGACTGGATAAAAAAAGTGCATGGCCAGGAAATCTTCCTTTATAAAAAAAAAAACTATAACAACTTCTGGATTTCATCAGTTTCTGGGGCGGTGGAAAAGTGGCTGCGTGTCTTACATTGTAAAGTGGGTTGGGGTTTCATACCAAGTACACAAATTATGTATGCTCTATAAAATGTGCACCTGGCATGTAACCACAGACATCTTCCCAGTATACCGCCCTCACACTTAGTCCAAATAGCAATGACTGTGAAAGATTAAAGAAAATCAGGCTGTAGATGGAATACAAAAAGTAATTTGCATGTTTTTAAATTGAATATTCCAAAGAAATATTTTATCTATGCTCGTTAAAAAAGAACTATGCGAATATTCTGTGTTGCTTTATATGCATACAATAACTTGCTGTATGTCTGTTACTGTAACTGTTATTCTAAATAAAATTCACACAGATTAAGATGGCAGTGCAACTCTGTCTGGGAATATGTTTCCAATAAAAAATAAAATGTGAATGATTATGAAATTTAGTATGTGGTCTTTCATGTATGAAGGTTACTCAACAGTAAGATAAAAATGTTTCAAATCTCAACAAAAACAAAAGCATTGTCTTTTGTTAGACTGAATATTCATGACTATTTATGTATTTATTTCAGGTACTTATATAGTGCTGTCAATTTATGCAGCACTTTACATATATATATATTGTACATTCACATCCGTCCCTAACCCTCAAGGGGTGTACAATCTAAGGTCCCTAACTTACATTCATACATACACATACTATGGCTAATTTAGACAGGATCCAATTAACCTACCAGCATGTCTTTGGAGTGTGGGAGGAAACCGGAGTACCCGGAGGAAACCCCGCAGGCACAGGGAGAACATGCAAACTCCAGGCAGGTGGTGCCGTGGCTGGGATTCGAACCAACAACCCTAGTACTGCCAGCCGGAAGTGCTAACCACTTAATTTTAAATGCACACAAAACATTGTGTATGGTAATGTTGTTAATGTAACATCATGTTTCTGCACAGACATTCTGGTATTAAGTATAATATGAAAGAGGAGAATATAATATATAATGATTGGCTTAACATTGTTAAACCCTATGTTCACCCAAAACTCAAATGGTTGTAAAGGCTCAAGGGTTTTTACCTTTAAGCATTCTATGCATGAAGGTTAAAAACCTTCTGTGTGCAGCATCCCCCCCCCCCTCCCAACAATACTCACCTAGCCCCTTTTGATCCATCAATGTGCACTGGAGTCTAGGCTATCCTGGGACTGCCTCTTCTTATTAGCTGAGACAGCAGCAAGAGCCATTGGCTAACACCGCTGTCAATCACAGCCAGTGAGCCCATGAGAAGAGGGGGGGTGAGGGCAGGGCCAAGGCTCAGCTCCATGTTTGAATTGACACATGGAGCAGCAGCTGGGGAGTGAGCATGCTTGGGTGCCCCCTAGCAAGCTTTTTGGTATACCCCCAAGCTGCTTGCTGGAGGGAGGAGCCAGGAGCGCCAGAGGGGGACCCGAGAAGAGGCAGATCCAGGCTGCTCTGTGCAAAACCACTGCACATGGCTGGTAAGTATAGACATGTTTGTATTTTTTTTTAATTTAAGTCTTTAGAATCACTTTAAAGCAGATATAAAAGGCACAAGTAATTCTGCTCTGCAATCATTAATATATAATAAATTAATTTTTTTAAGTCAAGTCCCAGATTTGACCTGGTATCAGTCTTTTTCAACCCCTTTCAGCAGGCCTGGAGTGTGAGAGACCAAGAAGATGCAGCAGAGAAGATGGCAATGCTAGCAAATGGAGTGGCAAGAGACAACCTCTGTCATTGTCAGGGACGCAAACAGCCAGGTGAGTAAAGTTCTGCTTTGAGCCATGGACTTTCAGAAACAGGTTATCAATATCAAACTACACATTCTTTTTTAGATGTGGGCTTATTTATTTATGTTAAGATTTTGCCCTGCAAACAGTCACTATGCTGTGCAGCACTTTACAATTTAAAGGCAAACTGCCAAAGTATTGCTTCACATTATGGCTAAATGAATATGTAATCACTAATATGTTGCTACAACAGTGTGAACATTGTGGTCATTGCATGGTACAGCTATGTGTCGGAAGCTAGCTGAAATGTTTGTGATGTTTGGTTGGCTATTCATACAAAACAGGCACATTTTGCCTTAACAACCATATCATTACTGACAAATATAACAAGCTAGGCAATGATTCAGTATAGCAAAAGGCACCAAAAAACAAAATACAAGTCTTGGCTTTTCTCATTACTTTACGGCACCTACAATAATGATTATAGAAACGCCAATAGTTTGTAAAATGAACTACTAATATCTTACTGCCTACACAATGGCTAATATCAACAACTTAAAGTACCTTCAGGTTTAGTGGGATGAAGACTTTGACTTGCCAATTTGACCCTAACACTTGTAATCTTGCAACCATATACAGTATTACTGGAAATCAAGATAGCCCACATATGCAAGGTTTGGTGCTTCTGTCAATTTTTTCTTTGTCAGCTCAATAGCTTCATAGCTAGGTTTTCCCCAGGACAGATGTAAATTTGTATAAGGTCATTTTTTCACTATCAGCAGTTTGCAAAGAAATTTTATGGGGAGCAGATATTTGAGAAAAGTTTTTTTATGTTACAATACTAATACATGATAAGGCCTAAAAAGGACTGGAGCTCTTAGACCATAATTTAGTCACTGCATCATCACCCAGATACATGACCAATGACCTAAAATTAAATTCCACCAAAGAAAGGGGAAGGTACCTGGGACATCTCAAAAATCTCACAGGAGTAATAAATCCATTGTTTGCCAATTCTTCAACCTGATTGCAACTTGCAAATAACCCCTTACTGGATCAATAGTGAGAAATAGCAGTCATCAACAAATAGAAAAGTGGAAAAGACACAGTCTACACATAAGCGTAATGCCTCATTGTTCTCCTAACCCAAGCCACTAACTATTCTTCTTGTACAGTTACTTCCTACAGTTTGCACATGCATTTCTCATTTCATAACAATCAACAAATTATTCATATTAAATTGGGGGTCTTAAAAACCTCCTATCAGTTCTCCAAAGAGTGGTAGCCATAGTGGCTCCCCTTTCAGCCTTAGTCAATGAGGGGCTTGATGACTCAGCCATGAACAACCAGGTCCCCTCTTCCCCCTTCCAGTATCATTCCTACATGTCTTTGAATACATTTCATAGAACCAAGGTGAGTTAGGTTGTCACCCATCCTTAAACACCCTTTACAATTCAAAATTGCAGACTCACATTGTCTACAAGTCCCAAGTAACTTTGCTATAATCCTTCATAGCAGATTGGCCCACTGTTGATAGTAATTTGTTTCAAAGTTCTCTTAAGGCCAGTGGAAATTGGGTCTGTGTCTTTTACCCCTGTTTCATGTGAGTGTGAAATGTATTTTGCAGATCTGCCACAAGTACCAAATCCCAAAAAAAGCTTTAAGGGAATATTCACTGTAAAATAAAAATTCCCAGCCCGATTTTTTAAGCCCCCTAATCTAAATTAAACTAACCTCCCCCCCACCACCACCCTCAGCACACACGCACGTGTCCACTTATTTCTTTCCAACAGTCAGCCTCTAGTAGAGTTTTCAGCCTCAGGGAAGACATCTTGTCCTGCACGCCCACGCCTGCACAGTAACACTGTAGGCTTGAATGGGCTTTACCTGAATACCCCTATTTAAATCTATAAGATCTTACTGTACACGTGCAAACAGCTCTGGACTGTCTGTAAAAATTGCAAAAACAAATTACCATCAGAAAGAGGTAAGTAGAAATCTGACTTAGGTTTTGACTTAGAATAGGTTAGGGCTCTGAAGGGCTGGGGAGTTTATCATTTTCAGTGAGCTTGTTCTTTAAAAAATAGAGAGGTCTATTCTCCTTTTGGGAGCAGTAACACCACTTTAGGTTCAATGCCATCCAAAGACTTCAGGGAAAAATGTTGAAAATGATGGGAATGCTTCCATTTAAAAGAATAGAGGGTGCATTCACACTATAATGTGCATTACAAAGCATGAAAGCACTATGCACTGTAGTTATGTGCTGCACTGAATTTCCAATCAAAGTTAATTGTATCCCAATGCATATCTACAGTGCACTGCAACATATCATGCAGGACCAATCTTTTTGTTATTGAAGTTATTCAAAATGATGTGAATTGATAGCCCATTCAAAATGAATGGGCTGTCTAATGCAACTTGCCTCAAAGCATGAAAATACCTGAGCTGCAGCACTATAAATTATGGTGTAAATTGGTCTTAACTCATTATGTATTTTTTAATGAATAAAAACACATGGCTGATAATGCATTCTGGGCAAATTTAAAAGCAGTGAATATGACATTTAGCAAACATTGTCTGCAGGTTAATCTTCCAGGTCCACTTATTGAAAATGGCAGAGATTGATTTTCCACCAGATAATGTTGGGTAAAAGTCATACACATTGCTTTATAACATTTTCTGACATTTATATCCTTTATAGCTGATCAAAGATCATTCTATGTCAGAATTAAAAAAAAAAAGAGAAATAATAAATTTTTATACTTTGCACTGAAAAAAAATAATAGTTTTCATAAAACCATCTCCTGATTTGAAGTGTTAAAGTCAGAACTATTTATTTTCTACCATAGCAGCTAATCAGATTCAAACCTGCAATGGAAATATAACTGTTGGATAAGGAGAGGGAGAGCCCAGTTGATATCTATAAGGCAATATAGTCAGTCCTATTATACAGAATGATAAGTGGTGCTGTGTCTTGGCATATCCCAATCATGCAGG